TAGTATGAAGACCTACATAGACGTGTGTATACTCTTTAGCTGAGTGGATATATTGTTCTCATATGAATCAGGAGGTCGCAAGTTTGAGTCTAAAAAAAGTCAGTAGCACTATTTAGAAAATTTTCCCAGATCCTAGATTTCAATCAGAGTGAACATGTTTAAAATATGTTGCAACAGAGTTTTTCCAGCATGGAGAACTAGCAAAAATTGTTGCCTTACTGATAATCTATGTGAAGTAAATTCAAATTATTTTATTTCTTTGATTTGAGACATGCCTCTAAACCAACAGATTTCCTCCATAAATCTTGAAAGAGTCGAAGTTGTAAATCTAATCTAAAAAAAGTACTAGTTCCATTTTTTTTTCGCATAAGCAGTAAGGGATACCTGTTATAGGGGTTGCAATATCACAAGTACACATGCAAGGTCACGCAGTCGATAACAGGAAGCTGAACACACGTAGGGTGTCTTGTAGGTGAACGAGAGAGAGTGAGACAGCGACAGAGAGAGAGAGAGGGTGATAGCGTCGTGAGGGGCGGCCGAGGGGGTTAAAACAACAAAATGTTTTCACACTCAGTGGAAATACATTATACTTTCAAAAAGTGCGCCACCCCGCCTCAAGTGCGACACATCTTTAAAAAACAGCGCCCGGCCCGGCCGTTGCTAAGGAACGGGAGGGGAATACCCCGGGCAATTTAATAAGATTTGCCCTACACCCCCCTTCTTGAGACCCATCTGAAAATGGAAAAGGTGATAAACGAAGCATGCACATATCTAGAGACAATGTGGGGTAGTTGGCGCTGAAATTGACGCTTGCTCGGGGCGAGGGCTAGTTGATTTTGGAGGGAGTAAAATAATTTGTATCAATTATTTTTGTGTTAGGTCAATGCACTTTTGGTTGGTACGTGCATTTAAATGTGAAAAGACTAATTATTGCATATGACCCCGTGGTTGCCAACTATGAAACTCTGTAAGATAGGTGAATTTTGTCCGAATAAAATTACGCCAGTGATTCGAAATTTACACAGAATGCTTTGTTGAGAAAAGTATGAAAGGATCTATGAAATGACAGCAAACAAAAACTGTAAACGTACCTGTAAAAGTTATGTAAACAACAAATTTAAAAAATTAAAAACTTATTACTCGTAAACAGAAAGGTTAATTTTTAAAATAGAATATTCATATTAACGTTAAGAAGACAACATTTATATGCTCGATACTAGATTAAATCATTGGCTTTAAACCTTTTAAGTATGTTCATGTCTTACATGCTTCCTGATATAAAATTTGTATGATACAGACTGCTGGGCCGTGCAGCCTCAGATACGTCAGTTGCTGGGTCGCTCACTGGCCGAGGACGGGGATCTGCTGGACCTGGGTGCTGGTGACGACCTCATCACTAGTCACTAGTCTGAGTGTTACAGTGTTGTTGTATGTTACAGACTGCTGGGCCGTGGGTCCATGTTTGTGTTCTCCAAGCCTCAGATACGACAGTTGCTGGGTCGCTCACTGGCCGAGGACGGGGATCTGCTGGACCTGGGTGCTGGTGACGGTCTCATCACTAGTCACTAGTCTGAGTGTTACAGTGTTGTTGTATGTTACAGACTGCTGGGCCGTGGGTCCAGGTTTGTGTTATCCAAGCCTCAGATACGTCAGTTGCTGGGTCGCTCACTGGCCGAGGACGGGGATCTGCTGGACCTGGGCGCTGGTGACGGTCTCATCGCTAGTTACTAGTCTGAGTGTTACAGTGTTGTTGTATGTTACAGACTGCTGGGTCGTGGGTCCATGTTTGTGTTCTCCAAGCCTCAGATACGTCAGTTGCTAGGTCGCTCACTGGCCGAGGACGGGGATCTGCTGGACCTATGTGCTGGTGACGGTCTCATCACTAGTCACTAGTCTGAGTGTTACAGTGTTGTTGTATGTTACAGACTGCTGGGTCGTGGGTCCATGTTTGTGTTCTCCAAGCCTCAGATACGTCAGTTGCTAGGTCGCTCACTGGCCGAGGACGGGGATCTGCTGGACCTGGGCGCTGGTGACGGTCTCATCACTAGTCACTAGTCTGAGTGTTACAGAGTTGTTGTATGTTACAGACTGCTGGGCCGTGGGTCCATGTTTGTGTTCTCCAAGCCTCAGATACGTCAGTTGCTGGGTCGCTCACTGGCCGAGGACGGGGATATGCTGGACCTGGGCGCTGGTGACGGCCTCATCACTAGTCACTAGTCTGAGTGTTACAGAGTTGTTGTATGTTACAGACTGCTGGGTCGTGGGTCCATGTTTGTGTTCTCCAAGCCTCAGATACGTCAGTTGCTGTGTCGCTCACTGGCCGAGGACGGGGATCTGCTGGACCTGAGCGCTGGTGACGGTCTCATCACTAGTCACTAGTCTGAGTGTTACAGTGTTGTTGTATGTTACAGACTGCTGGGCCGTGGGTCCATGTTTGTGTTCTCCAAGCCTCAGATACGTCAGTTGCTGGGTCGCTCACTGGCCGAGGACGGGGATCTGCTGGACCTGGGTGCTGGTGACGACCTCATCACTAGTCACTAGTCTGAGTGTTACAGTGTTGTTGTATGTTACACACTGCTGGGTCGTGGGTCCATGTTTGTGTTCTCCAAGCCTCAGATACGTCAGTTGCTGTGTCGCTCACTGGCCGAGGACGGGGATATGCTGGACCTGGGTGCTGGTGACGGTCTCATCACTAGTCACTAGTCTGAGTGTTACAGTGTTGTTGTATGTTACAGACTGCTAGGTCGTGGGTCCATGTTTGTGTTCTCCAAGCCTCAGATACGTCAGTTGCTGGGTCGCTCACTGGCCGAGGACGGGGATATGCTGGACCTGGGTGCTGGTGACGGTCTCATCACTAGTCACTAGTCTGAGTGTTACAGTGTTGTTGTATGTTACAGACTGCTAGGTCGTGGGTCCATGTTTGTGTTCTCCAAGCCTCAGATACGTCAGTTGCTGTGTCGCTCACTGGCCGAGGACGGGGATATGCTGGACCTGGGTGCTGGTGACGGTCTCATCACTAGTCACTAGTCTGAGTGTTACAGTGTTGTTGTATGTTACAGACTGCTAGGTCGTGGGTCCATGTTTGTGTTCTCCAAGCCTCAGATACGTCAGTTGCTGGGTCGCTCACTGGCCGAGGACGGGGATATGCTGGACCTGGGCGCTGGTGACGACCTCATCACTAGTCACTAGTCTGAGTGTTACAGTGTTGTTGTATGTTACACACTGCTGGGTCGTGGGTCCATGTTTGTGTTCTCCAAGCCTCAGATACGTCAGTTGCTGTGTCGCTCACTGGCCGAGGACGGGGATCTGCTGGACCTGGGTGCTGGTGACGGTCTCATCACTAGTCACTAGTCTGAGTGTTACAGTGTTGTTGTATGTTACACACTGCTGGGTCGTGGGTCCATGTTTGTGTTCTCCAAGCCTCAGATACGTCAGTTGCTGTGTCGCTCACTGGCCGAGGACGGGGATCTGCTGGACCTGGGTGCTGGTGACGGCCTCATCACTAGTCACTAGTCTGAGTGTTACAGTGTTGTATGTTACAGACTGCTAGGTCGTGGGTCCATGTTTGTGTTCTCCAAGCCTCAGATACGTCAGTTGCTGGGTCGCTCACTGGCCGAGGACGGGGATATGCTGGACCTGGGCGCTGGTGACGACCTCATCACTAGTCACTAGTCTGAGTGTTACAGTGTTGTTGTATGTTACAGACTGCTGGGCCGTGGGTCCATGTTTGTGTTCTCCAAGCCTCAGATACGTCAGTTGCTGGGTCTCTCACTGGCCGAGGACGGGGATCTGCTGGACCTATGTGCTGGTGACGGTCTCATCACTAGTCACTAGTCTGAGTGTTACAGTGTTGTTGTATGTTACAGACTGCTAGGTCGTGGGTCCATGTTTGTGTTCTCCAAGCCTCAGATACGTCAGTTGCTGGGTCGCTCACTGGCCGAGGACGGGGATCTGCTGGACCTATGTGCTGGTGACGGTCTCATCACTAGTCACTAGTCTGAGTGTTACAGTGTTGTTGTATGTTACAGACTGCTAGGTCGTGGGTCCATGTTTGTGTTCTCCAAGCCTCAGATACGTCAGTTGCTGGGTCTCTCACTGGCCGAGGACGGGGATCTGCTGGACCTATGTGCTGGTGACGGTCTCATCACTAGTCACTAGTCTGAGTGTTACAGTGTTGTTGTATGTTACAGACTGCTAGGTCGTGGGTCCATGTTTGTGTTCTCCAAGCCTCAGATACGTCAGTTGCTGGGTCGCTCACTGGCCGAGGACGGGGATCTGCTGGACCTATGTGCTGGTGACGGTCTCATCACTAGTCACTAGTCTGAGTGTTACAGTGTTGTTGTATGTTACAGACTGCTAGGTCGTGGGTCCATGTTTGTGTTCTCCAAGCCTCAGATACGTCAGTTGCTGGGTCTCTCACTGGCCGAGGACGGGGATCTGCTGGACCTATGTGCTGGTGACGGTCTCATCACTAGTCACTAGTCTGAGTGTTACAGTGTTGTTGTATGTTACAGACTGCTGGGTCGTGGGTCCATGTTTGTGTTCTCCAAGCCTCAGATACGTCAGTTGCTGGGTCGCTCACTGGCCGAGGACGGGGATCTGCTGGACCTGGGCGCTGGTGACGACCTCATCACTAGTCACTAGTCTGAGTGTTACAGTGTTGTTGTATGTTACAGACTGCTGGGCCGTGGGTCCATGTTTGTGTTCTCCAAGCCTCAGATACGTCAGTTGCTGGGTCGCTCACTGGCCGAGGACGGGGATCTGCTGGACCTGGGCGCTGGTGACGACCTCATCACTAGTCACTAGTCTGAGTGTTACAGTGTTGTTGTATGTTACAGACTGCTGGGCCGTGGGTCCAGGTTTGTGTTCTCCAAGCCTCAGATACGTCAGTTGCTGGGTCGCTCACTGGCCGAGGACGGGGATCTGCTGGACCTGGGCGCTGGTGACGACCTCATCACTAGTCACTAGTCTGAGTGTTACAGAGTTGTTGTATGTTACAGACTGCTGGGTCGCGGGTCCATGTTTGTGTTCTCCAAGCCTCAGATACGTCAGTTGCTTGGTCGCTCACTGGCCGAGGACGGTGACCTGCTGGACCTGGGCGCTGGTGACGACCTCATCACTAGTCACTAGTCTGAGTGTTACAGAGTTGTTGTATGTTACAGACTGCTGGGTCGCGGGTCCATGTTTGTGTTCTCCAAGCCTCAGATACGTCAGTTGCTTGGTCGCTCACTGGCCGAGGACGGGGATCTGCTGGACCTGGGCGCTGGTGACGACCTCATCACTAGTCACTAGTCTGAGTGTTACAGAGTTGTTGTATGTTACAGACTGCTGGGTCGTGGGTCCAGGTTTGTGTTCTCCAAGCCTCAGATACGTCAGTTGCTGGGTCGCTCACTGGCCGAGGACGGGGATCTGCTGGACCTGGGCGCTGGTGACGACCTCATCACTAGTCACTAGGCTGAGTGTTACAGTGTTGTTGTATGTTACAGACTGCTGGGTCGCGGGTCCATGTTTGTGTTCTCCAAGCCTCAGATACGTCAGTTGCTGGGTCGCTCACTGGCCGAGGACGGGGATCTGCTGGACCTGGGCGCTGGTGACGACCTCATCACTAGTCACTAGTCTGAGTGTTACAGTGTTGTTGTATGTTACAGACTGCTAGGTCGTGGGTCCATGTTTGTGTTCTCCAAGCCTCAGATACGTCAGTTGCTGGGTCTCTCACTGGCCGAGGACGGGGATCTGCTGGACCTATGTGCTGGTGACGGTCTCATCACTAGTCACTAGTCTGAGTGTTACAGTGTTGTTGTATGTTACAGACTGCTAGGTCGTGGGTCCATGTTTGTGTTCTCCAAGCCTCAGATACGTCAGTTGCTGGGTCGCTCACTGGCCGAGGACGGGGATCTGCTGGACCTATGTGCTGGTGACGGTCTCATCACTAGTCACTAGTCTGAGTGTTACAGTGTTGTTGTATGTTACAGACTGCTAGGTCGTGGGTCCATGTTTGTGTTCTCCAAGCCTCAGATACGTCAGTTGCTGGGTCTCTCACTGGCCGAGGACGGGGATCTGCTGGACCTATGTGCTGGTGACGGTCTCATCACTAGTCACTAGTCTGAGTGTTACAGTGTTGTTGTATGTTACAGACTGCTGGGTCGTGGGTCCATGTTTGTGTTCTCCAAGCCTCAGATACGTCAGTTGCTGGGTCGCTCACTGGCCGAGGACGGGGATCTGCTGGACCTGGGCGCTGGTGACGACCTCATCACTAGTCACTAGTCTGAGTGTTACAGTGTTGTTGTATGTTACAGACTGCTGGGCCGTGGGTCCATGTTTGTGTTCTCCAAGCCTCAGATACGTCAGTTGCTGGGTCGCTCACTGGCCGAGGACGGGGATCTGCTGGACCTGGGCGCTGGTGACGACCTCATCACTAGTCACTAGTCTGAGTGTTACAGTGTTGTTGTATGTTACAGACTGCTGGGCCGTGGGTCCAGGTTTGTGTTCTCCAAGCCTCAGATACGTCAGTTGCTGGGTCGCTCACTGGCCGAGGACGGGGATCTGCTGGACCTGGGCGCTGGTGACGACCTCATCACTAGTCACTAGTCTGAGTGTTACAGAGTTGTTGTATGTTACAGACTGCTGGGTCGCGGGTCCATGTTTGTGTTCTCCAAGCCTCAGATACGTCAGTTGCTTGGTCGCTCACTGGCCGAGGACGGTGACCTGCTGGACCTGGGCGCTGGTGACGACCTCATCACTAGTCACTAGTCTGAGTGTTACAGAGTTGTTGTATGTTACAGACTGCTGGGTCGCGGGTCCATGTTTGTGTTCTCCAAGCCTCAGATACGTCAGTTGCTTGGTCGCTCACTGGCCGAGGACGGGGATCTGCTGGACCTGGGCGCTGGTGACGACCTCATCACTAGTCACTAGTCTGAGTGTTACAGAGTTGTTGTATGTTACAGACTGCTGGGTCGTGGGTCCAGGTTTGTGTTCTCCAAGCCTCAGATACGTCAGTTGCTGGGTCGCTCACTGGCCGAGGACGGGGATCTGCTGGACCTGGGCGCTGGTGACGACCTCATCACTAGTCACTAGGCTGAGTGTTACAGTGTTGTTGTATGTTACAGACTGCTGGGTCGCGGGTCCATGTTTGTGTTCTCCAAGCCTCAGATACGTCAGTTGCTGGGTCGCTCACTGGCCGAGGACGGGGATCTGCTGGACCTGGGCGCTGGTGACGACCTCATCACTAGTCACTAGTCTGAGTGTTACAGTGTTGTTGTATGTTACAGACTGCTGGGCCGTGGGTCCAGGTTTGTGTTCTCCAAGCCTCAGATACGTCAGTTGCTGGGTCGCTCACTGGCCGAGGACGGGGATCTGCTGGACCTGGGCGCTGGTGACGACCTCATCACTAGTCACTAGTCTGAGTGTTACAGAGTTGTTGTATGTTACAGACTGCTGGGTCGCGGGTCCATGTTTGTGTTCTCCAAGCCTCAGATACGTCAGTTGCTTGGTCGCTCACTGGCCGAGGACGGTGACCTGCTGGACCTGGGCGCTGGTGACGACCTCATCACTAGTCACTAGTCTGAGTGTTACAGAGTTGTTGTATGTTACAGACTGCTGGGTCGCGGGTCCATGTTTGTGTTCTCCAAGCCTCAGATACGTCAGTTGCTTGGTCGCTCACTGGCCGAGGACGGGGATCTGCTGGACCTGGGCGCTGGTGACGACCTCATCACTAGTCACTAGTCTGAGTGTTACAGAGTTGTTGTATGTTACAGACTGCTGGGTCGTGGGTCCAGGTTTGTGTTCTCCAAGCCTCAGATACGTCAGTTGCTGGGTCGCTCACTGGCCGAGGACGGGGATCTGCTGGACCTGGGCGCTGGTGACGACCTCATCACTAGTCACTAGGCTGAGTGTTACAGTGTTGTTGTATGTTACAGACTGCTGGGTCGCGGGTCCATGTTTGTGTTCTCCAAGCCTCAGATACGTCAGTTGCTTGGTCGCTCACTGGCCGAGGACGGTGACCTGCTGGACCTGGGCGCTGGTGACGGTCTCATCACACAGAACCTCGCAGGCTTCTTCTCCAGAGTGTACGTGACGGAGGTGTCGCGACCCATGAGGTGGGCGCTCAAGAAACGAGGATTTCAGTGAGTAAAGATTTCATAACCTGGAGTCCGGTTTGTATTGTTGATGAAGAAAAGAGTTTTTGAAAGGTTATGATCAGGAAGAAAAAGTATAATACTCTAGAATAAAATTCTGTAGAATTTTGAACTATCTCTTATTTTAAAAGTATGGACCGTATTTCTGTCTCACATAATTATTTGAATTTACAGCGTAGTTTTCATGTATATAACATGGATTTTTTTTACCCTTAAAACATGAAAAATTCTGATTTTTATTATAGCCGTCTTTAAGTGCTAAAAATCAAAAAAATTTTTATATTTTCGTAAAAGTTAAAAGTTGAAAAAGAAAATAAATAAAAAACTGTACATTTAGAATTCCCATGTTATTTTTACGGAGAAAAAGTAAAATGTTGTAGTTTGCTAGTTGCCCCGTCACATAGTTTAAGGATATATTTTGATGCATTTTTGAAAAATGTGTTCATTTTAACCTATCAATTCTTCAAAAGTATGCCTACTCTTTAAATTTCAATGGGGAAAATTATGATTTGTCTATGAAAATATGTTTGTTAAAATCCAATCAGTCAAATGGAAATTCGCGTAATCTGCAGGTTTGTTGCTGCGTGCTGCTTTCTTGTGTTACAAACGAAGAGTAAATAACATACTAAATTCACCTTCAGTATCAATTTTACCATCCAAACTTCATGTATCTTCCCTAATGTTGCCAACCACGTCTCTATTTTGCATAAACCTCTTTTGGCTCATTACCGCAAACCCTCTTTCACGCATTGTACCGCTGTCAGCCACGTATGTAAAACAGTTGCAAAAACCGGCCAGCTGGTTAAAGGGTTAAACAGGCAAAAAACAGGTCAAGGGTGTTTCAACAGAATTATAACATTGTTAAACAACCCGGCCAGATGGATAAGTAGGGTGACAATTCGAGGGGCTGACCGCCAAAAAACTAGGTCAATTAGGTAGTTTTTTGTCGCGGAAAGGGTTGGTAAACAGCTGATTTGACTTTGTCACGGCTATTGTTTTATTGGGGGTTATAAAGGGATAATTGTGTTTTGACTGTGACTACAGGGTGTGATAATAGATTATATGATCTCCATAGCGAATGGGTGTATGTGGTTCTTTGTAATAGAGCTGTTTAAGTAGTTGAGTCGATTTATGTGTGTTAGCAGTTGTGTAAGATTATGTGTTATATTTACAAACGCTATTTTTTTCTATAAATATTATTTTAACAATTAGTAGTCCACAACGCTCATACTATCGCGAGAGCGTATTCTAGTGGTAGAACGCAGGGCTTTGGTCTCAGAGGTACCCGGTTCAAATCCCGCCAATCACCAATGGATTTCACCATGTGATAATGCCGCGACCCTTAAGCACGAGCCTAAATTAATGGGTAAAACAGTTCCGGGCTAGAACTATAGATTAAAAATACTGCCTTGGAGTATGTTAAATCTATGCTAGAACCTAGTGGTGTGTAGTGGTAGAAAGGTAAGACCATTGACCAAAACAAGTAGACTTCGCATCCCATTGTACATCTTGAAGAACGTTTTTCGTGTCTAGTTCATGTTAGTGACACTGATCCCTAGTGTCAACGAAATTTTGTTGTTATTTTAGATTTTCATGATGCTGTGCTTTACCGAATAGTTATATAACTAGAGGACGAGTTATTATTTAAGCAGTTTTCTTCGGCTAAAAGAGCCTTTAATTACTGAAATAACAAGAAACAAATTGTAAAAAAAACAATGCACCTGACGGAACCAAAAATAAAATTGTTCTTAGCTGATCCATAAGGATAAGAAATCTACAAAGGGAGTATGTTTATGCTACTACTGTATAATCCGTTCACAAAATTTTGGTGGTTTAAGGGGAAGTTGCCCCACTACCTTTTTTTGCTTATTATGTAGCAAAATCGCCTAAATTTGTTGAACTGCGTATAGCCATAGGTACCACCATAGACTAACCAAGTATGTTTTATTCATGGTAAAACTTACCGTTTAGGTACTTAAAAGCAAGTATGGACTGAGATTAAAAATTTCAAAATCTGTTTACTTTAATTATAAAGAGTTGTTTTTACCCCGAGAGTTTACGACTGGTTTATAGCACGTTCGGGGAGTTTGTCGGCGCAAAATATTAAAAATCTAATTTAAGTTTGACTGTTTTCTTTTACGGCTTATCTTTTTTAATTCCGCCTTGCGCCGCCATCCCCTATCCGCGCTGTTATCATTATAGAGGAAATTAGCCTGGGAGGGGAGGGGGAGGGGGTTTGTATATTAGGGCTTTTTCGTTTTTAGCGAGGGTTGGCGATTAAGGGACTTTCATTATGGAGTCTTCGATCAATAGTGGGAGAGTTTTGTTTCCTTGCAAGTCAAATATATTTTACAAAATCTTTTTGTTGCTCCTAAAAAAATTACTAAATCAAAAATACTACCATACATATAATTTAATACAATTTTTTTTGTTTTCAGGTCCCAGACTGTGTCCATTTACAGGATAACTCGAGCAAAATTATCCGATTTTTTATACGTGTAAACCTACATTTTATTCCAACGAGTTTGCGAACCAGCGTGATCGGACCATGAGAAAGGGGGTTTTATGGGGTAATGATTGGTTATTCCAATTTTGACCCTAAAACATAAAGTTTTGAACTTCTTTTCAGTTCATCGTACAGCTTAACAAAACAAATAGTTTAGTATATTATAGCATTGTTCTGTGCTTAATGAACAGAAAATGAACAGAGCAAATTCCAAAAATCTGCAAATTTACAATTCCCTTGTTATTCTTACGGAGAAAAGGCAAACTATTGTAATTAGCTTGTTTATGAACATATTTTGATCAAATTGTTTATTTCATATTAAGTTATCGAAACTGCAATAAAAAAACACACCTTCCCTATAGCAGCAACCCTTAGTAGAGTACTCGTTAAAGTAATGTTAATTAAATACGGAATATGTACAACATTTTGAAGGAGATATTTTAGTGAAAATCCAATAAGGTAAAAATGGAAGTTGGTAATGTATATTTCTTTGGGTTTCCAAAAAGCAAATGGCATTTTTCCATTTTCTAACTTTGCCTTTTGGCTCAAAAATGTAGATTTCAGTAATATTATTTAAATTATATTATTATTTGTAATGTTTAATAAGAAAAGAGTTTGCAGTAAATATTTACAGTAAGGAGTTCTATTAACTCCTTTAGGAGTGATTATTTAATTACTTTTGGCTGTTGACAAAAATAAAAATAATAATAAACCTTTTCTGTTCATCTACTGATTATAGGATATTCAAACAATTAGTCAAATAGCAAAACCACAAAATTATGACAGGAGGCATGGTTAAGTATCTATGTATATAAGTATATATGACTATCAAGCAGATAGTCTAAATATTTTCTTTATAAATAAGCAGTTAATTAACAATAAACTTTTGGAGTAAAGATATTCAATTTCTCGTCAATATTTTTGAGTCAATCCCATTAAAATTTGGTTAACTTATAAAAGATTCAACGGGAATCAGGCTCTAATATAATTTAAGGTGTCAGGAAATACCAAAGTCAATAACCTTTTTAATGACATTGAGGAAATTCCCTTAACTTTGTGACTGACTGACACTTTTACGAATTAAAATTTGTTTTTGTGATATCGACTTAGCTTTAAGTAAAGTTTCTTGGATAAAAATATTGCATAAACGTTGATTCTGGTTATTAGGGTTGAATGGTTTATAATACTTTTATTTAACACAATAATTATCTATTGTTTGTGGTTTAGCATTTTTAATTTTGGTTATTTAACAGTTTACTTATTTAAAAATATTATTAATCAAATAAGAAGGCATTCTTTAGATATATAATTTAGTAATTTTATTTCACAGTTATTCGCAAAATACTCCCACCCCAGCAAACTAATAGACTAAGCAAATTTATATTTGCCTTATTGAATTTTTACAAAAAAATATTTCCATAAATTTGCCAGATTAAAAAAATACTTAGGCTTTCTGCTATAGGGAAGGTGGTGCAGTTTGAGTGAAATATTAATAGCTTAGGATTAAATAAGTAAGTATGCCAAATTTTATCGCAATTTACTGATTCTGTAATTGAATAATATGACAATTTTATGCTTACAATATAATAAAATGTTATATGTAACTATAGGCATACAAATAGGCTGCAATATACTAAACTATTGGGTTTTTAGATCTACAAAATGGATGTAAGAGAAATTGCAAAATATTTTGTTTAAAGGGTCAAACATAGAAAAAACTAATTTTCACCCCATAAAATCTCACTCCTCATCTGATCAGATGATTTTTACTTGAGTTATCGTGCTAACAGGCACATTTCATAGGCTATATTTATATGAATTTTTAAGGATGGTGTTTTTGGCATCTGGGAACATCTGGGATATAAAAAAAAAAGAAAATCGGTTCCAGGTCGAGGTCTTATCATGAGACCTATGATAATAACTTATTCCCTATGGGAAATTCGGTAAAATATAGATTATCAACATGACAGAAACCATGTGATGTTTGCCATGTTCAATTCTCTTTCAGAGACATTGTAATATTCTGATGTGAAGTTTGCATATCAACCACAGTCTTGTTGTTTATTACAATGATATTACATTGTAATAGCCATTATGTGATAAGGTCCCGTGATACAGGTGGCTGTAACTTGCTCCATATGTTTATATCACATCCGCTTATGGAGAAATAGAAATGTTGTTAAGAAAAATATTATTGCTCATGTGTATATTGTAAACTGATTTGTCGATTAAATAAAAACCTTAAATGTACAACTTTTGAATTCTATTTCGTTTTAGGAATATTATAAAACATTAATCATTTTTCTGAATCATGTTTATAACCAAACTTTCTTTCTTAAACAGTAAAAAATGAGTACTTTATTATACTTTATACTTTTCTTTGAAATGGTGACCATACAAAGTAGGTATTTTAAGCCAAGTATGAATGGAGATGAGTGTATGATGAGTGGCGCGATCTTGTAGTCTTGTTAGTGACTAAGATCGACATATTCCTTAGACACAGCTGTTAATTAATAGCCCATACAGCTAATGGCGACTAGGACCTACAGTTTATAGTATTCAATGTCTGTGTTCTTTATTTACTGTACATTGGTCTCATCCATTGTAATTTAAGTTTTTTTTTGTCAAAACAAAATTAATTTTAACCTGATTTTCAAAACTTATTTCTCCACTGACAACCCTCTCAGAGCCAAGTTTCTGCAGCAACTTAATTCCAAGTGATTGCCTTTCACACTTAGCAAAACTTGTCTAATCCCATTTAAATAAACCGCCACTTGTTCCCCATCTTATAAACTAAGTTGCGTCACCCTTGTAGTATGTAGTTAGCAGTTATCTGTAGAGGATGTGTTAGCTGCATTTCATTATTACTTATGCAGTTCTTTCTACACACATAGTTACACACCAAAACCATATCTACAAATGTCTAGAAAATATGTAAATTTTCTGTAAGTAAGAGATTTAAATATTAAAGAATAATGTTTAGATTAACTCCAAGGCTTGTAACCATACAGCTTTTCCCAACTATTCACAAAATTCAGGTGGTGAAGGTTCTCTGGGTTCACTCACCCCTTTTTTTTTATTAAACCTGTGTATCAGCTGATCAGCTGTCAGCTATTGTTTCAAAGGTTTTCAAAGGTATTACAAGAATACTACACACAAGGAGACATGTTACAATACATACAGTCCCGGCCACGTAAAGAGAGAAAATGTCCAGGTAGACCTGGTCAGGCCTAATCCGCCGTTGTCAAAACATAGCTATTGTTTTGAAACCGAGGGGGCGCGCTACCCCATCCCAGCGGTCATTGCTACTGCCTCCCTTTAATTCTTAGAAATAACTCGGGCCAGTACAAATTCTAAAAATCGAACGGGTGATCGCCTATAATTAAGTGACAGGTCATTTTATTCACAAAGTGAAGACGAATATCACAAAATTTGAATCGCAATTCTACGTCGCTTCGTTGATTGGCTAGTCGATGTTGAAAAGCAGCAGGCAATGACCGCTGAGGTAGCAATGACCGCTGGGATGGGGTAGCGCGCCCCCTCGGTTTCAAAACAATAGCTATGTTTTGACAACAGCGGATTAGGCCTGACCGGGTCTACCTGGACATTTTCTCTCTTTACGTGGCCGGGACTGTACAATACATACATACATACAGACTATCTCGGTAACATTACTAACTGACCAAGGAAAAGTGGCACCTCTGGCTCGAGAATTTACACCGTATGGTATCGAACTAGCAATCTTCAAAAGTGAGCACTGGAACCATTTCTCTATCCAGATAACTCTTCTGACAACTATTGAAAAGCTGCAAAATCAATTTGCACACCATTCATTCCACATTAAAACTTTCATTCATCCTAAAACATTCAACTATGTGTCTGTGTCTAGTGAAATGTGTTTGTTCATTGTTTCAGAGTGCTGGAGATAGACGATTGGGAGAACCACAAGTTCGACGTTATTTCCTGCCTGAATCTCCTCGACCGGTGTGACCGGCCTTACAAGATCCTACGGCAGATCCGGCAAAGTCTGAAGCCAAACGGAAAAGCTATCTTCGCCTTAGTTCTACCATTCCAGCCTTATGTTGAATCAAGTAAGATTAAGTTAATAGTTGTAACTGGTTTTTGTTGTCATATTATGCCTAACTGGTTATTGCTTTTAAAACCTCAGTATCTATTTAAAATAACCTCAGTTGAAGGTCTGGTTTTGAATTATTTCTGAAAGACTGTTTGTCAATTGAAATTTATAGTCATGTGTTAATTTGTTTCTAAATGTAAATAAAGTTTAGTTTGTTGTTTTGTTTGGTAAAGAACACAAGCTCAGTTTTATCATAGATAAAACATATTCCCTTAGTAGATTTCTCATCCTTATGGAACAGCTGAAGCCAATTTTATTGTTAGTGCTGTACGGTTTATGTAGAGGTCGTGTTTTGTTTACAATTTGTTTCCCGTTATTACAGCCATTTAAAACCTCGTTTAACCAAATAATACGATCTAATCATAAACAATAACTTGTTCTCTAGTTATATAACCAAACAGTAAAGCACAAATCAAGAAATTAACCCTAAAATAATAGAAACAAAGTTTCGTCGACACTAGCGCCTTTGTGTCACGTACATGAACTAGACACGAAAAACGTGCTTCAAAATTTACAATGGGATGAGAAGTCTACTTGTGTTGGTTAGTCTATGGTTTTATTCTGCTAAATTTAATCTAGCATTTTATCATTTCTTAATTTAATATTGTCCGTGATATCACTATTATTGTGAATCACATATAGTGACGACGACATTCTGTGCTTTGGACAGTTGTTCCAGGTGCTTTTTAGGAACCCAGGTATATCTTTATCAATTACATTATCAATCCAGATGGGTATGCCACCTAGGTCTGTATTTTGATCTAAATATGAGTGAAGGATGAGCGTAGAAGTTGTGCGATGATCTGTGTAGTTTTGTTACTGACTACAGCTGAGGAGATAGATAGGTGAAGCTAGTTAACCATGTATTTTGAAGCACAAAAAAGAAGAAACATGGAATGACAGTACAGCAGGACAATCCCTGCTACAATGAAGAGTAGGGACCACCCGGAGACTCTGTGATGGAGATGCAAGAGCCAGACCAGATGGTATCTCCTTTGGTTAAATATAAATAAATTAATAAAAACCCAAAATTATTAAATTAATCAAGTTCTCCATTGGTAATGTATTAAGTTGATCTTTTATCGAAAACAACCAAATGTTTTCAGTTATGAAAGTAACATAGAAAAATAAATAACACAAACCATCAAAGTAAAAACATTACTCTATACCTGATAAAATAAAATAAAGCAATACTCACTCATCTGGTTGTCCCTTCGCTTTGAAAAATAATGGGAGAAGGGTAAAGAGAGGTATGCTGGTACGAGTAGTTTACTAACTTTGTATTATGCAGTGCTAAAATCAAATAGTAATTAATTATTAAAGTGCAGATTACTAAAGCCTGGCAATCAGGGCTGTATACAATATCTATGAGGACCCCTTATTCTGATCCTTCGGTGGATGGGGTGTAGAAATACACATGGTATTGATTCTACTTGATGAACTTGATCCTTTGCTTTTTCACTCTAGCTAGGAGATTAGCTTGTAAATATTGTTTCCATTTTATTTTTAGTAACAATTTTAGAGGCCAAACTTGTTTACTTTGAGTTGGATCAAAAAATGTTGACCTGGATCATGGGTCAAAATCGGGTTGCTTTAAAAAGTATTGATTTTCAAATTAATTGGTATACTATAATCGGATTAATTTACTTCATCAATTTCAGTGAAATCGAATACGAAACTAAATTGAAAACGTAATGGTCCTCGGTCATGACAAAATCTTGAGCATCCCATGCGGTTGCGGTGAAATCATGGACATCCTCCACAATTGTGGCGTTATCATAAACAATAAATTGTAAATGAATAAAATCGTCTTCGGTCACAACAAAAATGTGAACATCTTATGCAATCAGGGAGAAATCATTAAAATCTATTGGTACCGCGTTCCCAAAACTTCATCATTGTATCCTGCGACCGCAGCAAAATTGTGATTTTTGATCACGCAATCTTCGCAGACACTTTTGGCAAATTTGAGAGTAAAAGTTAAGCTCAAAAATCCAACAGTCTATTTTTGAAAATCATCGTTTGAGAAAAATATCCTTTTGGGGTACCAAGTGAAGCCTTCCTCCAGGCAGAAGCCTCCAGATACCACCGTGTCAGCAGTTAGGGAAATAAGCCTGTGCTGCTAATTGTCTTTTGAGTAAATAAAGGGTGACATAAGTCGCTGTAACTACGGTGTGCATTCTTAACAAACAAATATATCCCACACTTTGACAGCACTCTACTGTACCACTATAATTCTGCCTGTTACATATGAAAGAACATACAAACACATACATATTATTTACACATATACACATACATATATGAAGATGGTGGAAAGTGAGTTGCATATGAATATTTAATTTAATTCATTATTTGTGCAGGTGGAAAAGGAAACCAACCCCACGAGATCTTGCCAATCCAGGGACTGACTTTGGAGCAGCAAGCAGCCAGCGTAGTCAGCAATGTGCTTGGTTTGTTTTACTCAGTCTTTCCTAAACATTCTGGTTAAACATTTCTTAAGTACACAGTCATCACTACATTTTATTGGTGTAAATCCATCACAAGTTGACTGATGTCTACTAAAAAGTGTATGTATGTAAAGAAACATAAAACATATGTCCAAGTGGATTAGGAAGTTCGCAGAATGCTGTAAGCTTTTCCACGACAAGGCCAGTGCGGACGTCAATCATTTAGTTATTGAGAGGGTAACGAAAGTTGAGGGAATATTGCTTTCGAGATCATTATGTTTAAGAATACCAGGGTTATGGTTTAGGGACATGTCCAATCAGCTTAGCCATCTTTCCCACAGTCACTCGCTGATCCACTAGCAAAACATAACACCGAGAACCTAACACCAACAGGTATACTTTTGTGTCATTCTCATCTGAAATTTATAGGCTTTTCATGACTTACCTCCACTATTTACTATCATATTCATCACACTGTCCGGAAAGCAGCCGTATTTAGCTCTCTAAATCGTCCGCAAAATCATCGTTTTTGGTTAATTTCAAACAGGGAACAGAAAAAACATATGGTTAATATTTTGGTTCGCTAACCTCATAATGTTATGCATTATGAAAACGCTGCCAATCACCATAGAGATAAATGGATTACGACGATATTTAAAGTTATGTTTGTAAACAACAGAAATGTAAACGTTGATGACGTCTTAGTATGATCTCAAATTATGTGGTCTAATTTTGTAACGATTAGTAGTTTATTTTCATAGTATGATGAAAATAGTTGTTCATCACAAGGAGCTAAAGTGTCTATTTGGTACTTAATCATATTTCCACGATTGCGTACCAAAAAGAGCCACTTTCGCTCCTTTGATGAAAACTACAATTGTACATCCATACAATTTTCACATAAAAATTGTAGCTGGGAAAACCAAAATAACTAGGCTATGGTGTTAGTTTTGGTTTTTCAACCAGCTTACTCCTTCGTGACTTTACGTTCTCGTACTTTTCTGTCAGGGGTTGTTTGTGTTGTTTCACATTCAACTCTAAAACAACATTTTCAATAAAACACATTTTTAGTGGTTAGAACTCACATACATGAGGTCATTTGATGCGTTAGATTAATTAATGCATAAGTAATTAATTAATGCATGCATTAATGCGTAAGATTAATAACGTTGCATTAGATAAGTGGTGTTCCTTGTCCTCCTGGCTGAATAATGCTGTAATCATCACCAAACTGTTGTTGGCAGTAATGGTGATTTTTTGTGGAGGGTGTGTGTTTGGGGCAATACTATCCCTAGATACTTGACCTGTTAATCTTTTGCAGCACCCCTCTGCTCAGTGTACACCAGTGCTAGAGTGCTAAGCCCTAACAGCTATGGGACGCTATCGTCTTATCTCATCGGGCTCAAATCTCGGAATTTCTAGAGATTTCAGCCTTCTTTGGGCCAGACAAAAAGTGTTCAGAAGTTTCCACCTTATTTTCATCCCAATGTCTGTGATCTCTCAATTAATAGTCTTTAGGTATTTCCTAATTTGGCACACTAAGCAGCCCCACTATCCTCTAATCCCCCCCCCCCTTTTTAGGCTAAGTATGCTTTTCCATCCCTTCCTTGAGGGGTCTATCAGTATTTTTGAGGTCCTTAGACCGAGTTGGTGCTCTAGGTTAAAGCCTTCTGGATTTCCATCCAGTCCCGGACTTGGGTTTCTCTAAAGCTAATAAGGTACCAGAGTAGAATTCTGCCCCTGTAAGCTATTCTTCCGCATCCTTCTGTCCCACACAAACCGACAAAAATCTCTTTATGGCGCTAAAACAAGCCATCCACACCACGCGTACTGTCGTGGCCTTGTTTATGCACGCGTATTAGTTGATGCTATTTATTGAAAAGGTTGATTCATTTGGAAAGATTTATTGATACAAAAATGTCTAATGTTGTTGTTAACTTATTTACACTTTAATTATTAATAATAACATATGATTAATTTTTACTTATTGCCAACATAGAACAAGTTGATATACTATAATTCTCCTACGCTTAAAAAAGAACAACAAAATTAAGACCTGACAAAGTCTTTCAAATATTCAGGCTGGCGATGTGTTCTGTTGGATCTGCGTAGCACTGGACTTTCGTTTCCTGTCTCATGTTGAGGTTGTTCATTGATTTGTGGCGGTGGTTGTTCAGTAGGGATGGTGATGAGGTCTTCAAATGGATGATGTGGTCCTGGTTCTTCCGAAGTATCTTCTTGTACTGTGGGAGCAAATTTGACAGTCTTTAATAATATTTCAGTAAGTTGTAGTTGGTCGATGTGTCTTTTAAATATATATCCACTGTCTAGTCTAATCAGGTAGTGTAAGAGTCCGTACTTCTTAATGATGGTTCCTGGTTTCCACAGATTTTTGTTGTTCGAGGAGTACCGTGCTTGGACTCTGTCTCCTACTTTGTACTGTCTTGCTTTGGTGTGTCGAATTGAGGATTTTTGATGGTTGTCTATTTCAGATAGCTTGATTTGTAGATTGTGAATCCACTGACGTCCTATGATAGATGGCCAGTTGTCTGATACAATGTAGATTTCACCTTTAGAGATGTTAGATTTGTATTTTATATTGACCTCTACTTTTCCATAGGGTTTGAATACATCTTTTGTGTAAGATCTAAAAATTAAGTCAGTTGGTTGGATTGAAAGATTGAGGTGTAATTAATTGAACTTGTCTATGGGAAGAAATGTATACCCTGAACCGGAGTCTACTTCAAATTCTACAGGTTTGTTTTCAATATTCACAACTGTAAGAAACGGTGGTGAGGCTTCGGTTTGAAATATGTCTACTATGTTTAGAATACCATACTGGTGGTCAATTGAGTCGTTTATCTGGTTAGTTGAGTGTGTGCTATTCTTGGACCTATTGTTCAAAAGTGTGCTGATGCAAACTTTACCTACATGTCCTTGTCTTGAGCATTCAGAACATTTTAGTTTGCTTTTGTCCGTTCTTCTTAGATATATATTACATTCTTTAGATAAATGATTGGATTTGCCGCATCGCAAACATAACCCGTTGATTCCCAATTCATCAAAGTTGATTCGAGACTTTGGAGTGTGTTTGGGTTTCCATTTGGACCTACTGGAAACATTGTGTTGACAAGGGGAATGGTCATGCTGTCTTGGTGTAAGAGAAATCTTATTGATATCTGGTAGGTCTGATGTCGATGTAGGAAGATGTTTGAGGGAAATTAGTTTAGAGTCAAGTCTGGAAGCTTCTAAAGCCATTGCCTTCGATACGATTTCCTTGAACTCTGTAATATCAGATTGTAAAAGATGTTCACGAATAGAGTTGTCCTTAAGGCCGCGAATGAACTGGGTGCGAAGGAAGATATTTGATATGGATGATTTACATTCGCAGGGTGAGATAAATTCACAGTTGGTTGATTTATCCCTAAGATTACTTACAAACTCTGAAATTGATTGATTGTCGGTTTGATAGATTGATAGAAACTGGTGCTGGGAAACAAGTTAATTTCTTTTAGGTTCTAGATGTTCTTTTAGGATTTTGATCAGGTCATCGTAAGTTAATTCGTTAGGATTATTTGGTGCAGATAATGATGAAACTAGTTTGAAATTGCTTGGTCCAATTGAGTTCAAGAGCAATTTAGCACAATAATCTTTGTTAGATGCAATATTTTTCATCTGAATGTAGTTCTCAAAGCGTTGATAATAATTTGAGAATGATTCCTTTTTACTGTAAAAAAGTTGGGGACATAAGCCATTGTATGAGTTAAGTTTGTTTCAGATTGTTCAGTGTCATTTGGCTTTATGTTAAAACATTGTGTAGAAAGTTGACTTACCAATGTTGTTATCATGGTTTGTTGCATTTCCAAAAATTGCTTAAATTGTTCTTGATCCATGTTGATGAGATTTTAGTTAAAATGTTTCTGATTGATAATTGAAAATGCAGTTGAGGTTTACTCGTCGTCAAAACTTGTCGTGGCCTTGTTTATGCACGCGTATTAGTTGATGTTATTAATTGAAAAGGTTGATTCATTTGGAAAGATTTATTGATACAAAAATGTTTTATGTTGTTGTTAACTTATTTGCACTTTAATTATTAATAATAACATATGATTTATTTTTACTTATTGCCAACATAGAACAAGTTGATATACTATACGTACAGTACCAGACGTAAACCGACACTTCACTCACAAACTCTAAAAAAAAACTGCTCCGATTGTCCTTGTCGTAACGGTGATATCTTTACACACTGATATCATTAATGTCACTACGTCAACCTGACGTCTTACACTTACGGGAATCAGGATGTTAATAAGAACTACTTAATGACACTGTAAAACTGCTATCGACCAAACTGGCCGGAGTTACTCAGGATGGAAGCTATAACTGAGGTCTCGAGGTGTCGGTTAACTTGGACTCATGGGGTGGGGAAATGGCATTTCCTGCATAATCTGTCTGACACAATTTTATTTGCTTCAAATGACATTCTTTTGGTTGGTTCACTTTTAACTTTAAACTCACTTGACTTTTACGGAAATAGAGGTTAAACCCTTGAAGTACCAGTTTTCCTTTGCCTTAAGCCTCGTTCACACGGTGCGAGTTTACAAGCTACTCGCCAGCGTGTAAGAAGCCGGCGAGTTGGCGAGTGTGCTTGTATTTGTTCACACGCAGCTTGTCCACTCGCCAACTCGCAGACGTGTAGAAAGACGCTGGCGAGTCGGCGAGTGCGCTTGTAGTCGTTCACACGATGCTTTTTCCACTCGCGCAGTAGCTAGCTTGAACCAAATCCTCCGACATCATTGAATAACTTGCGCACAAGCACAAGCAACTGTGTTCACACTGGGCTACTTTACACGCCTACTCGCTCAAAAGATGGCGAGCTATTTTACTAGCTGTGTGTAAAAAAGCCGACGTGTAGCTTGTAAACTCGCCCCGTGTGAATGGGGCTTTAGAGGGTTTTCCTCTGCAATGACCAATAAGTCCAAATGTGTCCTTCAAAAAATTGTAGCACTTTGGCTTAACATTTCTAGGCTTTCTTGCCTTTTCCCATTATAATACAAACGCAAACCACATTCAAATTAATAAATATGTAATTTCAACTAAGTCAGAAAATGTGTGTATACGGGCGTATTTCCTTGAATATTGTAATTTAAACTATTAACATTAACAAGAATAAGAATAAGAATAAGAATATATTTATTTCCAAAATTACAAATTACAAAAATTACAATCGTGGCTGTAAAGCAAAGTACAAAGGAAAAAAATCCCCACAAAGACTGTACATCTGCGTGTGGGGAGAGTCTTCTCCGTCGCTCACCACTTCACAGACAAGATAACAAAATAAACAAATAATTACTTAAATAAAAAGAAGTATTTTTTTGCCATATTGTTGGCAAAAACAACAACATGAACATGAACATGAACAATATTTGAAGTACTTGAATGAGGGTGCCAGTACTGAAGTAGTTTGGTATTATTAGCCTAATTTAGTTTTAGAATTGTCATCGACTTTCATTATGCCCTGTACTGGGATCTGATGAGCTCTTCGGCAGCATCATCGCTCAGACCGAGAAGCCAGCGCCCGATCTTTCTGCTGAAAACCGTGACACTGTCTCCCTCCCATTCTCTTATCTGTATGGGGAGATTAGTGTATATAATGTGGGCTAGATAGTGAGGGGTAAGAAGCTGTGCTTTATTGTTCAATTTGGGAACGGAGATGCCTATGTGTGTTCTAGATCTAGTGTCATAAGAATGTAGCGAATCGGAGAAAATTTTGCTTTTATTATTTTTTGAAAAGGTTATAACTGTTTTTAGGAATAGTTTCCTGATGTTAAGGACTGGAAAATTTTGAAAAAGTAGGTAGGTGGGGTATCTTTGGTCTTTTTTTAGTATGTGTTTAATTATGGATTTCTGGGTAACAGCAAGAGGAGCCAAGACAGAGGCAGACGCAGCCCCCCCACGCAAGTATCCCGTACTGTAACAGTGACTGGACATACGCAAAGTATACACACCTGCAATGGTCCACAGACAGCACACAACCAAGCTGTGAAAAAGCGAAGATCATTTTTCTTAATCTATTGTTGACGTAATCAACATGTGGAGCCCAGCTAAGTTTGTAGTCAATTATGACCCCAAGGTATTTGTAATTTTCGACTTGCTCAATGATTTCACAATGGCACGGCGCTGTCCATGGACCCCCGCAGCCGTGCAACCTGAGTACTCTATGGCCCGGACCACTGTCGCATCTAAAGTAAATGGGCAGACATTTGGTCTTGGACACATTTAAGGATAGTATGTTGTGGTCAAACCATAGTTTGAGCTTGCCCAAGTCGGAGGACGCCCTGTCATATACGGCGTCCCAATTTGGCCCGGAGGAGACTAGAGCCGTATCGTCAGCAAATAGGAACACCTTACCTTTAATTGACAGATTTGAGATATTGTTAATGTATATTAAAAATAAAAGAGGGCCAAGCGTGCTTCCTTGGACGACTCCATAGTTAATGTCTGTGTTGTCACCGTTGACTCCACGTATTGCTACAAACTGTTTTCGACTGTAAAAATAGTTTTCAAACCAAGTTAAGGAAGTATCTTTGACACCTAGTAAGTTTAGCTTTCTGAGTAATAAATTTCTATCGATAGAATCAAACGCTTTAGCAAGATCCAGGAATGTTATCATAACTTTATTTTTTTTACTGATTTCTTGGGTAATAAATTTTGTGAGATCAAAGAGTGCATCCGATGTGTTTAATCCTTTTCGGAAGCCGTATTGATTTTCTGTAATAATATTATCTTTCTCCAGATAGTCTAAGAGCTGGATTTTTACCCATTTCTCTAGAATTTTACTTATCACAGGTAACAATGAAATGGGTCTGTAGTTATTAATAACAGATTTTTGCCCAGATTTGTGTATCGGGATAACCTTAGCTAATTTGAAAATATCAGGAAAGTTCCCCGTGCGTATACTTGTGTTTATTAAGTGCCGAATTGGAATATGAAGGCTTGCATTTTCTTTAATAATTCTGACTGGAATGTCGTCCCAGCCTGGAGCTGAACCTCCCTTGATACTATTTATTAAATTGGAAAGCTGGGGCTCATTGACAGGCACCATCTCAAACACAGAATCAACCGCGTGGTCGGCGTCATCCACCTCCTGACGTCCCGAAGCCGTGATACCCATTGCCAACTCAGATCCCACAGAAGAGAAAAAATTGTTAAATGTGTTACAAATGTGTTTTGTTTCTGGGGGGGTGGCAGTGTCAGAGTTAACAACAAACGCCTCAACCGGAAACGGCGCTTTGGCACTTGGTCGGCCAGCCACCTCGTTTACAACTGACCAAAATTTACGAGCGTCACCCGCGGATTCGTCAATTTTGGTTTTGTAATAATTAAACTTTATATGCTTGATTAGGGAATGTAATCAATTAAATTATCAACAGCAATTAAATTATCGAGCTGATCATAATGTAAACAAATAATGATAACATTGAAACTTTAAAAGCCACTGGGGCAGAGCCTATGTGTCTTTTTCAACATGTAAGACCTTATATGACATTTACAGAATGAGATATTTCCAATGAGCCATAAACTAACAAAATCGGATGAGAAACCACGAAGGAGTTCTGTCCACAAAAATCGTGCTTGCCTATTTTACAGTTAGGATAAAATAAAATTATATTTTACCATACCCAACCACTGGAGTTGTTGGTATGACGACTAGTTTCGTTCTTTAGAAGCTTAATAAAGCTTTTTCATAATACCATTAATACTTCAACTATTTCCATGTTCTTATCAATAGATGTGTAGTTGTGCGATTCCGATATTACATGTTCAGCATAACTGGATTGCTGATGTTTTGATCTTTTATGTATATGTTCTTTCAAAACTACACATATATTGATAAGAATACGGAAATAGTTCAAGTATTACCAAAAAGTTTGATGTTAAGAATTCACCATCTACAAAGCTAAAAAACTCTACCCATGTAACATTTTAAATTATAAGACTTCTTTCCAGTCAAATATTATATCACTGATACATATATTGACAAGTTACAAATCAAAGAAGTATAAAATAAGAAGAAAAAAACAAACTGAAATACAGGTAGCACTGGAGAGAAAAAGAAACATCATGATTTAGTCAGTGGCAAGTGATAAGACAGTGTTGACCTGTTATACTTTTAATAAGTTTTATAATTTTTTATTCAATTTTAATTACTTTATCAACATGACAAGTTTTAATTATTGTGATGGTGGCAGTCTTTTAAATTATCTATTGACATACCACAATGTATTAATACATTGATGATGTGGTTGCTTACAATGACCTGATAAAGTTCAAAGGAACAAAATTAGTCTTCTTACCAACAACTGTGGTTGGATAAGGTAATCATTTTATTTGATCAATACTATATTCCAACCAGGGTCAGAATGAATAATTTATTATAAGCCCAACGATGAAGCAGGACAAGTGGGTCCAGTTTCAAAGCTATGTATCAAAACCTGCTGTAGGTAAGGATTTCATGGTCCTACAAACCGCAGTGCCTGCTAATCTTTTCAAATGATGTCAACCAGGCATATTACTGGCTAGACGATGTTGTGTTCATCACTAAACTGTAGCTGATAGTAATGTTGTGTTACAGAGCCTGCAGGCTTTACTGTACTGAGGTGGACAAGACTGCCCTACCTCTGTGAGGGAGATGTCAACCAGGCGTATTACTGGCTAGTCGATGTTGTGTTCATCACTAAACTGTAGCTGTTAGTGATGTTGTGTTACAGAGCCTGCAGGCATTACTGTACTGAGATGGACAAGACTGCCCTACCTGTGTGAGGGAGATGTCAACCAGGCGTATTACTGGCTAGACGATGTTGTGTTCATCACTAAACTGTAGCTGATAGTGATGTTGTGTTACAGAGCCTGCAGGCTTTACTGTACTGAGATGGACAAGACTGCCCTACCTCTGTGAGGGAGATGTCAACCAGGCGTATTACTGGCTAGACGATGTTGTGTTCATCACTAAACTGTAGCTGATAGTGATGTTGTGTTACAGAGCCTGCAGGCATTACTGTACTGAGATGGACAAGACTGCCCTACCTGTGTGAGGGAGATGTCAACCAGGCGTATTACTGGCTAGACGATGTTGTGTTCATCACTAAACTGTAGCTGATAGCGATGTTGTGTTACAGAGCCTGCAGGCATTACTGTACTGAGATGGACAAGACTGCCCTACCTGTGTGAGGGAGATGTCAACCAGGCGTATTACTGGCTAGACGATGTTGTGTTCATCACTAAACTGTAGCTGATAGTGATGTTGTGTTACAGAGCCTGCAGGCTTTACTGTACTGAGATGGACAAGACTGCCCTACCTCTGTGAGGGAGATGTCAACCAGGCGTACTACTGGCTAGTCGATGTTGTGTTCATCACTAAACTGTAGCTGATAGTGATGTTGTGTTACAGAGCCTGCAGGCTTTACTGTACTGAGATGGACAAGACTGCCCTACCTCTGTGAGGGAGATGTCAACCAGGCGTACTACTGGCTAGACGATGTTGTGTTCATCACTAAACTGTAGCTGATAGTGATGTTGTGTTACAGAGCCTGCAGGCTTTACTGTACTGAGATGGACAAGGCTGCCCTACCTCTGTGAGGGAGATGTCAACCAGGCGTATTACTGGGTAGACGATGTTGTGTTCATTACGAAACTGTAGCTGATAGTGATGTTGTGTTACAGAGCCTGCAGGCTTTACTGTACTGAGATGGACAAGACTGCCCTACCTCTGTGAGGGAGATGTCAACCAGGCGTACTACTGGCTAGACGATGTTGTGTTCATTACGAAACTGTAGCTGATAGTGATGTTGTGTTACAGAGCCTGCAGGCTTTACTGTACTGAGATGGACAAGACTGCCCTACCTCTGTGAGGGAGATGTCAACCACGCGTATAACTGGCTAGACTATGTTGTGTTCATCACTAAACTGTAGCTGATAGTGATGTTGTGTTACAGAGCCTGCAGGCTTTACTGTACTGAGATGGACAAGACTGCCCTACCTCTGTGAGGGAGATGTCAACCATGTGTATTACTGGCTAGACGATGTTGTGTTCATCACTAAACTGTAGCTGATAGTGATGTTGTGTTACAGAGCCTGCAGGCTTTACTGTACTGAGATGGACAAGACTGCCCTACCTGTGTGAGGGAGATGTCAACCAGGCGTATTACTGGCTAGACGATGTTGTGTTCATCACTAAACTGTAGCTGATAGTGATGTTGTGTTACAGAGCCTGCAGGCATTACTGTACTGAGATGGACAAGACTGCCCTACCTGTGTGAGGGAGATGTCAACCAGGCGTAGTACTGGCTAGACGATGTTGTGTTCATCACTTAACTGTAGCTGATAGTGATGTTGTGTTACAGAGCCTGCAGGCTTTACTGTACTGAGATGGACAAGACTGCCCTACCTCTGTGAGGGAGATGTCAACCAGGCGTACTACTGGCTAGACGATGTTGTGTTCATAACTAAACTGTAGCTGATAGTGATGTTGTGTTACAGAGCCTGCAGGCTTTACTGTACTGAGATGGACAAGACTGCCCTACCTCTGTGAGGGAGATGTCAACCAGGCGTACTACTGGCTAGACGATGTTGTGTTCATCACTAAACTGTAGCTGATAGTGATGTTGTGTTACAGAGCCTGCAGGTTTTACTGTATTGAGATGGACAAGACTGCCCTACCTCTGTGAGGGAGATGTCAACCAGGCGTACTACTGGCTAGACGATGTTGTGTTCATAACTAAACTGTAGCTGATAGTGATGTTGTGTTACAGAGCCTGCAGGCTTTACTGTACTGAGATGGACAAGACTGCCCTACCTCTGTGAGGGAGATGTCAACCAGGCATACTACTGGCTAGACGATGTTGTGTTCATAACTAAACTGTAGCTGATAGTGATGTTGTGTTACAGAGCCTGCAGGCTTTACTGTACTGAGATGGACAAGACTGCCCTACCTCTGTGAGGGAGATGTCAACCAGGCGTACTACTGGCTAGACGATGTTGTGTTCATAACTAAACTGTAGCTGATAGTGATGTTGTGTTACAGAGCCTGCAGGCTTTACTGTACTGAGATGGACAAGACTGCCCTACCTGTGTGAGGGAGATGTCAACCAGGCGTATTACTGGCTAGACAATGTTGTGTTCATCACTAAACTGTAGCTGATAGTGATGTTGTGTTACAGAGCCTGCAGGCTTTACTGTACTGAGATGGACAAGACTGCCCTACCTGTGTGAGGGAGATGTCAACCAGGCTTATTACTGGCTAGACGATGTTGTGTTCATCACTAAACTGTAGCTGATAGTGATGTTGTGTTACAGAGCGTGCAGGCTTTACTGTACTGAGATGGACAAGACTGCCCTACCTCTGTGAGGGAGATGTCAACCAGGCGTACTACTGGCTAGACGATGTTGTGTTCATCACTAAACTGTAGCTGATAGTGATGTTGTGTTACAGAGCCTGCAGGTTTTACTGTACTGAGATGGACAAGACTGCCCTACCTCTGTGAGGGAGATGTCAACCAGGCGTACTACTGGCTAGACGATGTTGTGTTCATCACTAAACTGTAGCTGATAGTGATGTTGTGTTACAGAGCCTGCAGGCTTTACTGTACTGAGATGGACAAGACTGCCCTACCTGTGTGAGGGAGATGTCAACCATGTGTATTACTGGCTAGACGATGTTGTGTTCATCACTAAACTGTAGCTGATAGTGATGTTGTGTTACAGAGCCTGCAGGCATTACTGTACTGAGATGGACAAGACTGCCCTACCTGTGTGAGGGAGATGTCAACCAGGCGTATTACTGGCTAGACGATGTTGTGTTCATCACTAAACTGTAGCTGATAGTGATGTTGTGTTACAGAGCCTGCAGGCTTTACTGTACTGAGATGGACAAGACTGCCCTACCTCTGTGAGGGAGATGTCAACCAGGCGTACTACTGGCTAGTCGATGTTGTGTTCATCACTAAACTGTAGCTGATAGTGATGTTGTGTTACAGAGCCTGCAGGCTTTACTGTACTGAGATGGACAAGACTGCCCTACCTCTGTGAGGGAGATGTCAACCAGGCGTACTACTGGCTAGATGATGTTGTGTTCAACACTAAACTGTAGCTGATAGTGATGTTGTGTTACAGAGCCTGCAGGCTTTACTGTACTGAGATGGACAAGGCTGCCCTACCTCTGTGAGGGAGATGTCAACCAGGCGTATTACTGGGTAGACGATGTTGTGTTCATTACGAAACTGTAGCTGATAGTGATGTTGTGTTACAGAGCCTGCAGGCTTTACTGTACTGAGATGGACAAGACTGCCCTACCTCTGTGAGGGAGATGTCAACCAGGCGTACTACTGGCTAGACGATGTTGTGTTCATTACGAAACTGTAGCTGATAGTGATGTTGTGTTACAGAGCCTGCAGGCTTTACTGTACTGAGATGGACAAGACTGCCCTACCTCTGTGAGGGAGATGTCAACCACGCGTATTACTGGCTAGACTATGTTGTGTTCATCACTAAACTGTAGCTGATAGTGATGTTGTGTTACAGAGCCTGCAGGCTTTACTGTACTGAGATGGACAAGACTGCCCTACCTCTGTGAGGGAGATGTCAACCATGTGTATTACTGGCTAGACGATGTTGTGTTCATCACTAAACTGTAGCTGATAGTGATGTTGTGTTACAGAGCCTGCAGGCTTTACTGTACTGAGATGGACAAGACTGCCCTACCTGTGTGAGGGAGATGTCAACCAGGCGTATTACTGGCTAGACGATGTTGTGTTCATCACTAAACTGTAGCTGATAGTGATGTTGTGTTACAGAGCCTGCAGGCATTACTGTACTGAGATGGACAAGACTGCCCTACCTGTGTGAGGGAGATGTCAACCAGGCGTACTACTGGCTAGACGATGTTGTGTTCATCACTTAACTGTAGCTGATAGTGATGTTGTGTTACAGAGCCTGCAGGCTTTACTGTACTGAGATGGACAAGACTGCCCTACCTCTGTGAGGGAGATGTCAACCAGGCGTACTACTGGCTAGACGATGTTGTGTTCATAACTAAACTGTAGCTGATAGTGATGTTGTGTTACAGAGCCTGCAGGCTTTACTGTACTGAGATGGACAAGACTGCCCTACCTGTGTGAGGGAGATGTCAACCAGGCGTATTACTGGCTAGACAATGTTGTGTTCATCACTAAACTGTAGCTGATAGTGATGTTGTGTTACAGAGCCTGCAGGCATTACTGTACTGAGATGGACAAGACTGCCCTACCTGTGTGAGGGAGATGTCAACCAGGCGTATTACTGGCTAGACGATGTTGTGTTCATCACTAAACTGTAGCTGATAGTGATGTTGTGTTACAGAGCCTGCAGGCATTACTGTACTGAGATGGACAAGACTGCCCTACCTGTGTGAGGGAGATGTCAACCAGGCGTATTACTGGCTAGACAATGTTGTGTTCATCACTAAACTGTAGCTGATAGTGATGTTGTGTTACAGAGCCTGCAGGCTTTACTGTACTGAGATGGACAAGACTGCCCTACCTGTGTGAGGGAGATGTCAACCAGGCTTATTACTGGCTAGACGATGTTGTGTTCATCACTAAACTGTAGCTGATAGTGATGTTGTGTTACAGAGCGTGCAGGCTTTACTGTACTGAGATGGACAAGACTGCCCTACCTCTGTGAGGGAGATGTCAACCAGGCGTACTACTGGCTAGACGATGTTGTGTTCATCACTAAACTGTAGCTGATAGTGATGTTGTGTTACAGAGCCTGCAGGTTTTACTGTACTGAGATGGACAAGACTGCCCTACCTCTGTGAGGGAGATGTCAACCAGGCGTACTACTGGCTAGACGATGTTGTGTTCATCACTAAACTGTAGCTGATAGTGATGTTGTGTTACAGAGCCTGCAGGCTTTACTGTACTGAGATGGACAAGACTGCCCTACCTGTGTGAGGGAGATGTCAACCAGGCGTATTACTGGCTAGACGATGTTGTGTTCATCACTAAACTGTAGCTGATAGTGATGTTGTGTTACAGAGCCTGCAGGCTTTACTGTACTGAGATGGACAAGACTGCCCTACCTGTGTGAGGGAGATGTCAACCAGGCGTATTACTGGCTAGACGATGTTGTGTTCATCTCTAAACTGTAGCTGATAGTTATGTTGTGTTACAGAGCCTGCAGGCTTTACTGTA